CATCACACAGGTTGGTGTGCTTCTTCCATGGAGGTTTAGTTGCTGCCTCACTAAATGGCTGCTGTTTGAAGACAAGCCTTTAAGACCCCAGACACTATTTTTTCTGATAGCTAGGCACTATCTGGTTTCTCCACCACACTTTGCTAAAGCCCCATATCTTCAGTGGTCTCTTTGTGAGGACAAGCATTGAGCCAGGGGTATGTCATAAGATCTAATTGTTCTTGCATTGGGACTACAATAAAGTACAAACCCCAAATCCATTCATATTTCTATGGTCTATGTATGTATCTGGTTCATTTTAGAAATATTTTATGATACAAACCATTATAAATCATCCCCCTTTGGCATAAGATTATCCTATTGATAATGTCATTAATTTAGCCAATATAGAATTTAAAACAGTGTTGTGAAGGGATATTATATGATTATAGGCTGGCTTCAGACTACAGTACATGAATCGTTGACTTACACAGATTAAACTCTCAAAGTGACTGGAAACCATTTACACAAACAGTCGGGGTTGATGATAGGGCACATTCTTCAGTAACACTCATTTGCAAAGGCAGGACCATGCTTATATGATTAGTACATGTGATAATAGAGCATGGTGGGCATTAAATTAGTAAGTATATGGTAGCCCCGAGCCATCATTAATTGGCACCCTCAAAGCAAGGGATAGGCCATTCCATAACTTTGAGATAGCAATCACCTGCTGCTTCTCACTAGAGCATTTCAGCCTTAAGTCCAAGGGCAAAATCTGTTATAGGTTCCATAAGTCTGTTTTAGGTAAATTTGAAGTAAATCCCAGTTGGGTCTCCACATCGAATCCTTCTGGTATGGCCTATGAAGGATGTTGTGTGTCTTGAAAGGGCAAGGCACACAACATCCTTTTAATGTAGTATACAGCACGTGGCTTTGGTCACCGAGGGCTGGATAGACATTAAATCAAAATTGTCCAATTAGGAACATGGTACCAGACATATTCGCCCCTTGGGTTCTAAGTATTGATAAGCATTTTTTTTCTCTCTAATAGGAGGCAGCTCTTCCTATTTTACCCACCAAGAGTAATGTCATCACCTTCTCTGAGATATACACGTCCCCTCCCCCCATCTTGACTTAATTTCCAGTAAGGTTCCCTTTTTACTCTTGTAGGACTCTCTGTAGATTTGGGGTGACCTTAGCACAGTGTTCTGTGGCAGCAACTGGATAGTATTCTCCCTCTTGAAAAACTGACCCCAGCGGAGGTAAGGTCTTCTCTGTTGAAGTAGTGTTTTAAGATGTCCATATAAACGGGGTGATACCTGATCCATAGGCCCTACGCAGGATCTCCACTTTGCTGCATTAGAAGATTACATGACCTGACAGCAGAAGCCTCCCTTCTTGGTGTTTATCCTTATAGTAGTGGGCTCATAAATTTGTATATAAGTAACTTTTTCTGTGAATTACATGAAGGATTACAGAGCAGATCATCGGTTGTATATTTTGTTTCAACTCATCCATTTTGCAGTCTATTATCTCTTCAGTGCACTATTGTTTATCCCACTTCTAGCTTGTGTTTCCTGTTTCCATCCTTCCTCCTTTCCGAACCCCCTGAACTTTATCCTTGGGTAAATGCTGCCCCTTTTAACCTAAATAGTTATTCTAATGGGGGTATATTCAGCTCCAGTTCAGAAGAGTGACCAACGGTCTTGGGGGTTCCACCAATGTCTGTCTGACTAGTAAGCTCAGTCTCTTTTATGACTTGGGGATTTATTGCACATCTTTCTCCCACTCTACCATGACCTTCAAGTGTAATCCTTTTCAGAGCAGTTGATAGTGGTAGCTGGCTACCACCAAACTCTTCTGGCCTCAGGGCTGTAAAGACTGATATTTGTGTGATCCGTTATTCTGTTCGACTAATTGCCTTCATACTTTTTTGTTTTTAATCTTCGTTACTCTTCTTTTCTCTAGACAGAGAAAGACCAGTAGTTGCCCTTTAGATGGGTGCTTATGAGCTTTTTAAGACTCTAGTCATTGGTTACGCACTGAAGTAGGATATAGAACATTGTCTTTATGAATGGTCTTATGCCTGTTGACTTTGATGTTATATCTCCTCAAGTTTGAGAGATTCTTTTTTGAGTAAGTTTTGATTAATTTGTGTACTTTTATGAATTTGTCCATTTTGTCCAGATTTAATTCTTTGCTATATGTTTCTTAGTATTGCAATCCTTTTAATTTCTATTTAAGATTGGTAGGAATGTCCAACTTTCATCTATGATCTAAGAAGCTTGCATCTTCCCTCATTTCTTGGTTTGTATTAAATGAAAGGATCCTCAGTTTTGCTGATCTTTTTAGTGAGCCAACTTTTTGTTTTACTTATTTTCTGTTTTTCTATTTCCTATTTTGGTTATCTCCACTCTTAATTTTTCTCATTTCCTTCCTTCTCCCTACTTTAGATGTCATTTGCTCTTCTTAGGGTATTACTTTGAGTGGTTTGTTAGCTTATTTCTTGTAGTGTGGCCATTTGCCCCTATGCACTTCCTCTTAGCACTGCCTTCCCTCTGTCCCACAAGTTGTGCTTAAGGTTATTGATCATTTGTTTTGTGTCCTAACATGAAGTAAGCCCCTCCAGGTGTGCATTCTGTTGTTGTTAGGTAGAGTGCCTTACCTGTTATGCATATATGTAGGAGCTCTGAGGTTTAGTTGGTGTACAGTATTGTTCGAGTCTTTTCCTTCTTTATTGATCTTCTGTCTAGATATTTTGTCCATTATTGAAAGTAGGATATAAAATTACCCTATTGTTATTATGGAGACCTGGAGGGTTACACATTGGGCTGCTAACCAAAAGGTCATCAGTTTGAACCTACTGGGCTCTCGATGAGAGAATGATGAGGCGTTGTGGTTCTGCAAACAGTTACAGCCTTGGAGACTCACGCGGACAGTTTTACTCTGTTCTGTAAGTTTCCTACGAGTGAGAAATGACCTCAAGGCAGTGAGTTTGAGTTTTGAGGTTTTTTCCCATTGTTATTAGATAACTGTATGTCTCTCTACAGTTCTGTCAGTATGTACTTCACATGGTTGGCACTGTTGTTTAGTGCAAACTTGTTTAGAATTGCCAATTAACTTTTCATTTTAATACTTTTAAATAAGTTGAGTAATGTGGGCTACCTCTTACGGACTCTTTTTCATGTGGGTTAAGATAGGTGGGCCAGTGAGCTTTTGAATGATTGCAACAGGTACCTGTTGAATTTCAGCTGGTCTTTCCCCAGCTTAACGTTAAACATAATACATTTAGACAGGTTTATAGGTGCAGTAATGAGCGCCTATTTATAAGACCAACACAAAGCCAACTTTTCCAAGTCAATGACTTAATAATTCAAGCAGTCAGTGAAAACATTCCTGTGACCCAATGATTCCAATTTGGGCAATTATTAGAGATTCTTTGAACTGAATTCAACGAAGTAATTGCTAGAGTAGGCAACACCTTTAAAACGATTTCATGTTTTCTTGTTGCTGCTCTTTTTTTAAAATGTTGTTTTCAGTTTGTGGAAGCTCTAAAACTTCTATTAGTATGTACTTTCTGTCATAAAAATTTGGAGGGGATTAAAAACTATATTTATTAGTACTTGAATTCATTCTTAGTTGTCTAACCTCTCTTATTGCATGATAATACAGGATTGGATCTTGTGTCATAGATTTATGCTAATATCTTTATTTTTCAGGTAACTAGATTGAATGTACCCAAGCACAGAGACCATGGTTATCTTATATTTTTGTCCATTATAGTGCCTTACATTATGTAATACTGCCATAAAGGTAGTTCTCAGTAGAATTTTGTGGACTTTGCTAGATATACCAACTTACATTAGAAAAGGAATCCCTCTATAGTAGAAAGTCTTCTCTTATTTCTGTCTATCTAAAAAATTTTTTTCTATCTAAAATTTATGAGTTGATTTTTTACCTAAATTATGAAAACTCTCAGTATCCAGTAGCTGCCACTCTTTTTAGTCAATTGACCTATACCGGTGTGTACATATTTCATCTTCTAAACACTAATTAATCTTTCTTGATAACTTAAAACCCTTTTCCAAATTTGTTAGAGATAGTAAACTAGCTTCTTCCTTGTATTAGCAATGATGAGTTCCATACAGATAACAGAATTTCAACTCTACATTGTTCTTCCTGTTTCACTGTTCCGATTGCCCTTTTTCTCCCCTAGAAAGGAGCTCTCGTGGCACTCTTGGGCAAGCAGTGGACTGCTAACGGCAATAGAAGGACGAGGCTGTCCACACCCTGAAAGACTGGCAAAGCCTCACAAGCCCTGTATTGTGTCACTGTGTTGGAATAGACTCAATAGCAGTAGATTTAGTGCACTTAGAAAAGATAAGCTGCAACCATAAAATCGGAAGTAATGTGTTGAAAACACGTATTTTAGAAACCAGAACAGATATTACAATATAACAAACGTCCTAAATGACTACCTGAAGAAAAAATAATTTGGGGATTATCCAATTAAATTAGCATTAAATTTTCCAAACAGAGATGGCACTGTCATTTCCCACTTAGCTGTCTCCACCTGAAAATGTTAAACTCTTTTATGAGTTGGTCAATATGAAAATTGTCTGAGTGCACAGGTCAACAATTGGGGAAAAATGAACTTCCAATTATTATCATCCTGAAGACTGATTTATTTTTCCTTAGATAGTCACTATTTACTTAATTTAGGAAAAGAGATTCACATTCTCTACCTAAATAATTTAGCAAATTCCAGTTTCATTGTAGTCTAGCCTTGGAAGAGGTTCCAGCTGTCGGAAGGGTAAACCTGCTGTATGTTTCCAAATGTGAAGCTGCCGATCACAGAAGTGCGTTGCAGACAGGTGAAATACTAAAAGGGACTAAGAATAAAACAATGACCAGTAGTTTAAAATGGCTTCTCTGGCTCATTTCCTGTAAGAATGCCTGACTAATGCATGTTAAGCTTACTTCTTCCTACTTCCTTAGTTCTCCTTCTTTTGTGATAGGTTATGAAAAACTATGGCAAGGGAGAGCAACCAATTTTGGAAGCAGAAAATGAAAAACTAGTTGAAGACCGAGAAAAACTGAAAACTGAATTAAAGAAGACTACAGATGGTAATGTTGTGTGCATGTACAAAGATTAGAGTGATATTTTATGCTGTTATACTTCACTGTTTTCCCTAAAACAAAACTAATGTCTAAATGGCTAAAATATCAAGAATGACCTATTTATAAATTCCTACTCAAATACCAAGTTAAAACATTGTCTCAGCCAAGACAAACACCCTCTGTTATATAGAAAAACATGTAGGTGTTTCAGATCTGTGTTGTAAATACAGATGTTCCTTGCCTTAGCACAAGAGCTATGTTCTTGAAAAGTTGCACATAAACATATTTTTGTTAAATGAAGCACATTTTTACAGCGTATATTGCTCTCTCAGAAAGACAATCACGGGGACATACTTTTGGTTACAAGGAAATATATTACCTGAAGCCCCAATATTTCCTGTCTGTTAACTATAAGAAAAATGTTCCTTAAAAGAGATGCCTGGGCATGCGGGAAGCAGCTTTCAACTATCGGCTGAGGATTTGAATGCTCTTTCCAAAACGCATTGCCATGAGGGCATGAGGTGGTATGTTTTCATCCATTTCCTTTAATTCTCGGGCATTTTTTAAAGAATTCGTTCTATAATTTTTGTTCTTTATCAGAAAAGAAATTATTATTGCCTACAGCCTCATAACATGAGACAGTAGATACCCCAAGCCCAGAGTCATCCCAGGAAAATAAGTTTGTGATTGACCCCTGGGGAACATGCGTACATGCAACAGACATTTCTTTTGTTGAACAGACTCTGGGGAAACATTTATGCAACTAGGGTTCAGTTAGTGATTGATCAGTAGACCAGCTCCAATTTCAAATGTCTTCCACAGCTTTAAAGGAAGGTAAATTGGAGAATGTTCAGGAACTGAATCAAAGACCTACTTTATACCGTTTGTAAACAGATTTTCTTTTGATAGGTATCAGTATATTAGAAGCTCCCTGTAATATAACTACCTATCATTCAATGTATGTCTACATTGGTTGGAAGCATTTTACTTCATTAGAGTGTATTTGAATTTGAGCTAGAACGCAGGATAAAAGTTAATTTTGTAAGGCAAAAACATCCAGGGGAGGCTGTTTCATGTGATATAAAATTCTTTGGTTACCTTCCCACACCTTGTTTAAAGTAAGAAAAATAAAGTTGCTCAGAGGCTGCGGTAGTAAGAGGAGAAATAAGTTCCCTTATTGCCTGGGTATTATTAGCATAAATATAGCCCCAACTCCAAGAATCTTGAATTTTAGTTGTTACTGTTGTCTCTTCTGCATTCTAGACAATATAGACCTATAAGAAAATGTGTATGAAAATAATTTAACCGTGACTTACTCTCAACTTTAGACATTTGAAGAGAGAAACTGTGTTCTTTATTTTACCCAACATAACATGCTGCTAGTCCTTGAGAAAAACCACAGGGCTTTTTCCAAAATACCTTCAAGTAGGGGAGAAAATTATTTTTAAATCTTTTCTTCATATCTGCCAAAAGGCCTCTTTTCTTAAACATTAACCAGGGTGATACAAAAATAAGGCTGATCATTTTGTTTTTTCTACCTTGGGCTTTCAAAAATTAGTTTCCAACTTTGAAATATTTTGAGCTTTTATGAGATCTCACTCAAAACTCAGTTATAAGAGCATCACTGTAACAAATTAGATGTTAGGGAAAATGGCCTTTTTTATAATCTTGGCATTGTGCTTATAATCTGATAACCAAATATACCAGCTTCTGTGTTTGAAGTGTAGACTCCACGGCTACTTTCTAAATGAATCGGTGTTGAGGGCAAAGCAGCTTTTACCTGTTTGAGGATGCCCTGTGTGGTTCCTGTAAGATGTGTGATATTTTATGAACATGATTCACTATTTCAGATAACATCATTAGTGACCTTGGGAAGATCAAAGTTCTCAGTCTGAAGAAAATATTTACTGGCTATATTATCTTAAATTTTGTTTCTCTTTTCGAGTACATTAAGGCAAGAACTAAGTATATCAATGAATGCTACGGATTTGATTAAATTCACTATAGTACTCTATATACAGTACCATTCAATAATATATAATGATTTCTAAAACTTGTGTATTAAGGCTTTCAAAATATCTCTTCTATTTTAAAATTGAGTAAAAAACAGTGTGGTTGACGGTTTTTAAAGGGGCAAAAAAGATATTTTCTATATCACTTTTCTTACCCTTGCTATTTCTTTAATCTGCATGAAACATTTTTTTAAAGTATATGTATTCATGGGGATAAAGCTTAAAAAAAAAATTTAGGAAAAATGGAAAGCAGATATTAGATAACACTCCATCAGTATTGTCAAACTATTCTGAAAGCAAATATTGAGAACACTCCATCGGTAATGTCAAACTATTTGTAGGTTTGGGCCACCAGATCAGATTATGGCCAAGATTAATAAATTACCTGGGCCCCAAGAGAGTGATGCTAAAGAGAGTTGTGTACAAAGGTAAATCCAACAGTGTTGCTGTGGAGCTCGGGTTCATACATGCTGCTCAGTTCAAACATAATGTGTTTAAACACGACTGCGATCGGTGGGTGGCTGCAGACAGGTTCTCTCAGTAGTACACTCATCTCAGTCTCAGCAGGGAACCTTCACAAGAAAGGTTCCATTGAAACTGATGGTGGAGGGAGAGGGTCTGCAGAGCCAGTAAAGTGTAAGGCAGCGCAATCAGCGGAGACAATTATGGAGACTGCTGGTTTTATTCTGAAGAATTAATCTTGATAGATTTCCTCAAAGGACACAGAACGACCATGAAGAAGAACCTCTGAGAAACACGTTTTAAGAAAACCCAAAACTACATGCATGAGGACAAGGGCAGGAAAGTTGCCAAGAGTTTTTGTTTCTTTTTCCTATCACGACAATGCAACTGGTCCTTTTCCAAATGTAGCAAAGGCTGTCTTATAATAGTGTAACTGGAAAAACATACCAAATCATCCCAAATCCCTACTTCTGACCCTGCAGACTTCTTTTTGTTCAAAAAACATAACATGATTTAAGTCCCTCAAGGAGACCAAGGCTGCTGTTCTGATGTGTAAATTGTAGGACACAGTATTCCTTAGGTAATGGATTATACAGGTGTAACCATTGCCTTCAGAAGTCTATACACCTAGGTGGAGCATATGTTGAAAAACAATAGCTTCACATTTTGATATTTTTGTTTATTAAAGGTTTCTGTTGTTTGGTAGCAATATTTTTTGACGTAACCTTCATATGTCCCAGAGCACCTAATTTGCACTCAGGACGTAGTCAGGTGTAAGGACTTGATCTGTCATTTTTAATGGTCTGCTTAACAAGAGCTCTGATATCCCAGAGTGCAAAGAGTAATTGGGAAAAGCACTGCTGTGAAAAATGGGAACCTGTGTCTTGCAAAGTTGACAAGGATCACAGGCTCTTGTTTGTAGCAGACAGCCTATTCTGATATCCAAGGAGATTGACTTCAAAAGGACCCCTCTAATACAGCCTCTTGTACTCATTCTTTTTTTTTTTTTAACTTTTTTGTGAATTTGGTGGGGGTTTACATATTAGATATCATTTTTGCATTCAACAACTTAAACAGCTCCTTACAGTTTGCCCTGTCCATTCCTTGTAGGATATTGTCTTTTCCTTCTCCCAAGTAACACCTGGTACCCTCTTTCCCTTCCTTCTGTGCCCCTCCCACCCCTGGTAACCATGAAAGCCTGTTTCTGCTGGTATGGAAAACTTTTTCTTGATTATTTAATTTTTTTAACAACATTGGTGTCATACAGTCCTGTTGCATGATAGACTAACTTCACTCTGGACAACAGAACAATGCCCTTCACGTTCATCCATGTCATGGTATTGTGCAATTTCATTACCATTTCTTAGCCATGTGTCGAATTCCCTTGTGTATTGATACTTATTCTTATAAGTAAATACTTCTTTGGTATGTATTAAGTAAATGCTTCTTTGGTATGTATTAAGTAAATGCTTCTTTGGTATGTATTTGATAGCAAAGCAAATAGCATTCCATCAGTGTGTATAATTAAAGCGGTGACAAAAGTAGTTGTGTTCAGAAAAAGGATTAAGGCCAATTCCTTGACCCTGCCATTATTCTTTATTTAGTTTATCAGCAATTTTAAAAGAGCTTTAAAAATAATTCATTCATTCATTACAAAATTATTTAACATGGATCATAACACTTCCTTTGAAAAGCACACTGTTCAACAGAAGGTGGCTTTAAAAGAACCAACCTGACCAAAAAATATACCAACAAAATAAGAATTGATTATAAAGGCCCATTGTGTATACTAAAATATTGGCAGCAAATACCAGGGTCCTTAGGCTTAGATCAGGAAACAGAAATCTTAGATTCCCCTGTTGGTTTCTGGTGTTAGGTGCCGTTGAGTCCATTCAGAGTCATAGTGTCACCATGTACAATGAAAGAAGCGTTGCCTTGCTTCACAACCTCTAGTACGCATGAGTCCATCGTTGCAGCCACTGCATCAATTCATCTCTCTGAGTGTCTTCTTCTTTTCTGCTGACTCTCTACCAAGCATGATAACCTTCTTTATTCCCAGAGCACGTGACATGAACACTCACCATCCCTATTTCTAAGGCACATTCTGGCTTTACTTTCCAGAGAGATTACAGCTTGAACTTCATTCATTTCCATCTGCTCTTGATAATCTGCCACCTCCCATGTTTGATACAGTGACTCTGTATGACCGTCCATTTTCTCTTAATGCTTCCAGCATCATTCAGTATTTTACCCACAGAACCCTTCAATAATCTCACTCCTTACTTATTGTTATGATTAGTTTTTGAAGACCAGGTCATTGTGCAAAAATTGCCATTTTGCAAAATGGAGGGTGACAATATCAGATCACAAAATGAAGGATGACTAAATGATGATGTGTCAGCCATACCCCTGAGAATCAAGGCCATCCAAGTTGGTACATAACCTTCACCATCACAGCTAGTATTAATTAGTCTTTCCTCCCACTTTGGCATCTATTATTTCCAGACTTAGATTATTAAAGTGCAAAATAAT